CTGACTTCTACATTCCGCGCATTTTTTATATATATACACGTGGTTCAAACAAAAAGGAGAGGAGGAGCCCGTGAGTAAGAAAAACAGACAGAGGGTGGAAAGGCTTACCGGTGAAGAAGGATTCCTGGGAAAGTCTTGAAGTAAGAACGGCTTCGCGATACGCCTCGAAAAGCAAGAAGCACGAACTGGAGGTTGGAGAGGAAGGATTTCGGCGAAGAAGGCAGCAGTCCAACAGGTACGAAGAGAGTTTGAAGTTTTGAAAAAATGGCTCTCGAGTTCGTAGAGGGTATTTAAAGGAACGGACATCCTCGACCCTGACCGTTGGATGAAGATTTTAAAATCCAACGGCAAAGGAATCCTGCCCGGATTTGACGGTGATAAAATAGGGCGGGAAACAGAGAGGTCGCGATCTAAGGGTCCATATTCGTCCTTTCGAAATAAGGCCATACATCATCATGAGGAATCAATCGACGTGATGGTTGCGTCCCCCAATGGAAATCCGAAGCGCCCAGGCCATCATTGCGAATGAAGGCTCGGGACCGGTTTCCCACACCCAAAGCACGGAAGGACAACCGAACCTAAGCTCGAGGCCGCCTAAAATGAGCCCTCGACCTGGGGGGTAGCTGTTGTGTGGAAAATGTGACGGACACATGGACGAACGATAATGCGACACGTGGCCTTGACTACTCTCCACCAAGCAAAAACCCTCGACGTCTACGGCTCCCTTCTATTCCGCTGGAAAGCCCAAAGCACGAAGTCCAAATTAGGGCGACGATCCCTTATGGCGTTGACAGATTGCGCCGTCGAGATTGAGGCACGAAGATCCCTCGACCGCAGAAAGGACCGCCAACGAGGGCGATTGGGCTAAGCAGTGTTGACGACGAGGGGAACGTTCTTTAGAGGACGTGACGAGTTGCGTGCAAAAGTGGAAGACGTCTGCAGGCATTAATTGCAAGCTCTCAAACCGCCCCACAGGAGACAGGAAAGTATTACGGAGAAGCACAGAGCCGTAATAGGAGACTAATTGGCTGAGTGAACAGTGCTGATTAGTGGGCTACGTTTGGGCCTACCAAGGAAGAGCACTTGAGTGCTTCCACCTATGAAGGAAACCCCCTAAGCGAAGGAAGCCCGGTATAAAAGGAGGAAGACCCCCAGTAAGGAAGGGGTTGAGAGATTCCAGCAAAGAGAAAAGAGATTTAATTAGAGCAATTGTTGTAAATTGTTATCTTCTCAAAAGAAATACAAAATCACAGTGGATGTAGCTCTCATTTTATAGAGTGAACCACTATAAAATTCCTTGTGTTGTTTGTCTATGCATGATTTAGCTAACACACAAACACACATATTCAACAAATCCTCATACGTTCACTACACACTGGCCGGTAATCCAAAGAGAAATCAAGAGGTAACCCGGCCAGTTTTTGTTGGCAAAATTTGACCGTCAACAGTAGTCATAGGAACTCTCAAATCCGCACGGAATAGGAGAGGGAGAAAGAGTAGAGTTTAGAGAAACAAATAGAGAGAGTGAAGGATTGAGACTTTGTGAAATAATTGTGTTTTTTCTTTTCTTTCTTTTTTTCCCGGGATTTGGATGAGTTTTGGTCTTTTCTGCATTCTGATGGCGGTAGCAAGACCGGTAAAAGTGGTTGTTGACAAACATTCCGGTATCTAGGAAGATACCAAACTAGGAGGATGCTTTCTATATTTATATGGATACCGATTGTCATGGCATATACTAAATTAGATATTAGTTGGTATCACTCTATCGTTACTAAATTAGATATCAACTGGTATCACTCTGTCGTCGATAACGGTGATTACCAGTAAATATTGGTCAGTAGTCGTTTGGTATGAGGGTAGATACTGTATGGTATCGTTGTGGATATACATTAGATACCAACTAATACCATAAGAGTATATTTGGTAGTTTAAATATAATTTTTCCCCTTACATAAGTCAATCTAAGTCTAAAATTGTCTAAAATTATAGTAGTTCTATAAGGCCTCATTTATTTTATCAATTTGAGTTTTCAATTTTAATTTTACTACAGTTAAAAGCTCTAAAAAAAGTCACATTTAATTTTTTTTATTATAATTATAAATTTTCACATAAAATTATATCTTAATTCAGTTTAAAAATTTAAATTAACGGACTGAACGAAACTTAAGAAGTGCGACCTAGCTCTTTCCGAAAACTGACAGCATAAAAGCATAATAAGCCCGACCTATTTTCCAGCCCATAGAAGTAGTACTAAAGGCCCAATGTCAATCAGCAAAGCCCACAAATGCCACCATATCGGCCTGTAGTTTCTTTTGCATTACAAGCAACATTTTTGACTTTCATAGTGCGTACCGTAACAAGAAAGCACCAAATCAAAACATCAAGACCGAATCTTTGCCAAGGGAAAACCATAAAATAACAGTATATCAACTAAACAAGTCAGTACTGAAGCTTCTAAAATCCGTATTAGATGCTGCCACGCATATTTTAACATAAACCGTTGCACTTTTATCAAAAAATAAAAATAAAAAAAAGAGAGAAAAAGAAACACTTTTTTGTTTTGTTTCACTTGAATCTGTGGAGCTTAAACTGGGTCCAAGGAATTTCGATAAATATTAGTTTATTTAGTACTTTTAAATATTAGAAAGAAGCGCCATTTACGCCACTGATCTGCCATCTTTGACATCTCCCGAGAAGCACATTTAAGAGCCATGCATAGTTTTTCTAAGAGCCAAAAAAAAAAAAAAAAGTAAAAAAAAAAAAAAAAGCTATGCATAGTTTATTCACACATGCATGGCACATTGAATGGAGAGACAGAAAAAGGTGTGCGGTGGAAGTGGAACTAGAGACTTGTAAAAGGTAAAAAGCAAGGGCGTAATTAAGCTACATCCTAATTTGTTTTTTTGTTTTATTTTTATTTTTTGAAGTGTTAAAGGCATCAATTTATTACACTGATCTGAAATGCAATGTATAGTTAGTTTTACTCTCAAAATGGAAGACACAAAACTGAAAAAAAAAAAAAAAAAAAAAAAAAAAAAAAAAAAAAAAAAAAGTTGTTCAAAAGTATAACAAGGGAATTTCTCATACTCAGGTATTAAACACATCCCCACATGTGAAAGTCTCAAAAAAAAGGTAAGAACTTGCTAATGAAGTTGGGAATCAAAAGAGCTAAGTAGGTAGACGAGAGATGGCGTTTGTTTTTGGAAGTTTGAAGCGTGGAACGAAGCCAAAGTTATGGTTTGACCAATGCATGCAATTTCATAAGGGAAGATTTGAGGGAAAAAGAATATTTTTGATCGATTTTTTTTTTTTTCCTTGAATTTCTTGGAATATCTGGCACGACCATATCTCACATACATTGACAACATGTGCGCTCAATATTCTTTTAGCTATTATTATGTTTTATATATATATATATATATATATATATATTGTTTTTGAAGGATCATGGGAAAAAAAAAGGTTAATAGTACATACCAGAAAACAATTTCAACTACAAGAGGACCCGATCACAAAGTAATGACCATATAACAATTAAGGAATTACTCGATTGGTGGGATCATAAAATTCCCTATGATTAAGAGAATTTTGTCTCAAAATAATGTGTGTAGACTTTAAGAACTACTCATGTGGATGTAGGACTTGAAATTGTTTTCTATAACTAAACTACTGAAGGATAGTAATGGAAGTGAGACCTCAAATCTGAGCCATCAAAAGAGGTTCTTCTTTGAACTTATTCCCGTCGACGTGAATACTAACAAAATTAGAAAGAGTAGTTTGTCAATCCTTGCTTTTTTGGTATTAAAAATTGATTCCAGTTAAAGTTAAAAGGAATAAATATTAATTTCACTTATATTTTTAATGTTGTGTCTTATTTATTAAATTTGTTTTTATACTGTCTCGTGTGTGATCTTTGTGTTATAGATCTTTTATATGTTTTTATAATGCATCTTATGTGATCTTTATGTTATAGGTTTCTTGATTTTGATCGAACAAAAATTTTCATCAAACCTAGAGGTTTATTGAAAGAGCTAATTGTGTACTCAAAATTTAGACCGCCTTTTCAGTTTTTTGTTGTCAAAATTTGGTATGTAATTCTCCTCCTTAAATGTTTTATTTTAAAATTACTGATAAATTCAGTTTGCGTTCAAGATCGAATTTATATCTCAAGTTATTGGCGTCAACATTAGCAAGTTTGTAACTCTATTTTGAGATGAAATGAAAATGTCCCCTTAAAAAAGTGTTATTTCTTTTATTCCCAAAATGCAATTACCGCGAAAGGATTTACATTAAATTAATTTGAAGGGGACATTGGTGGTCGGTGAAGGGAGCCAAGCCAAGTAGGAGAGAGAAAGTTGAAGGAAGTGGACACGTAAGATAACACATAGGATTCTTCTTTGACCAAATATCACAACCAAAGCCACGTATTCACACAAATGCATAGAAAAAGAAAAAGAAATTAAAAAAAAAAAAAAAAAAACTGCCACGCTCTGCAACTCTCTCTCATCTCTCTGCTCTGCTTTCTTTCGCCGTTAGAAGCTTTTAAATGCTTCCTTTACTTTCCCCCTGTCTCTCCTCACACTCCCAAAAAAACCCCACTAACACACATTTATTATTCTCTCTCTCTCTCTCTCTCTCTCCTCTCTTTGTCTCTCTAACTCTTGACACTCTCTGACCTCCATTCCCTGCTTTAATGGATCCTTCTTCTTCTACCGTGGTTTTTCGAATTCCCTTAGCTTCTCGATCTCCTCTTCGAATACCCTCTTAAGCTCTTGTCCGATCTCAGCTCTTCGAATCTTCTATTTCTTCTTTACCAAAAAAACTCCAAAAGGGCCTTCCTTTCTTCTAATGCGTTAACGTTTTTCTCTCTCAATTCAAAACAATGGGTTTTGCTTGGAACTACTTTACCTTTCCATCTCTGTTCACACTTTAGAGACATTTTTCCGAAAATCCTACCATTTTGCTTCTTCTTCTTCTCCTTCTTTAGTTGAGATTAAAACTGAAACAAACAAAAAAAGGAAGAAAAATGGTGTTCAAGCTATTCCTTTTCCTTGTTTTGGCTCCTAGTCTTGTACATTCTTTGGACGCCGGCTTCAACGACGACGTTTGGGGGTTGATCGTGTTCAAGGCCGGTCTCCAAGACCCAGAAGAGAAGCTGATATCTTGGAACGAAGATGATGAAAATCCTTCCAAATGGGTTGGTGTAAAATGTGATTCCCAAACAAACCGAGTCTCTGAGCTTTCTCTTGACGGTTTCTCTCTTTCTGGGCATATAGACAAAGGTCTTTTAAGGCTTCAGTTTCTTCAGAAACTCTCACTTTCGAAGAACAACTTTTCAGGTACTATAAACCCCGATCTTCCTCACCTTGGTGGTTTACAAGTCATAGATTTGAGTGAGAACAGACTTTCTGGGCAAATCCCAGATGAGTTTTTTCAACAATGTGGATCTTTAAGGGAAGTTTCCTTTGCTGGGAATGGCCTAACTGGCCAGATTCCTGAGTCTATTAGCTCTTGTTTTTCTTTGACTAAGGTGAACTTTTCTTCAAATAAGTTATCTGGGAAATTGCCCTCTGGGTTGTGGAATTTGAGGGGTTTGGAGTTGCTTGACTTGTCAGATAACTTTTTGGAGGGAGAAATTCCTCAAGGTGTTGAGATTTTGTACGCGTTGAAAACCATTAGTTTTAGGAAAAACTGGTTCTCTGGGAATCTTCCTGGGGATATTGGAGGTTGTTTGGAATTGCGGTTTGTTGATTTTAGTGAGAATTTCTTGTCTGGCAGGCTTCCTGAGTCAATGCAAAGACTTAGTTCATGTTCCTCTTTGAGTTTAGGAGGGAATTCTTTCATAGGTGAAGTGCCGGAATGGATTGGAGAATTGATAAATCTTGAGGTCTTAGATCTTTCCAAGAATAACTTTTCAGGTTGGATTCCGGTTTCGATTGGAAATCTTCAGCTATTGGAGAAGTTGAACTTGTCCATGAATGAGTTTAGTGGAAGCTTGCCAGAATCAATGTCGAACTGTACTAACTTATTGGCCCTAGATGTTAGCCACAATCTGTTGGGAGGTAGTCTTCCTTCTTGGATCTTTAAGCAGGGTTTACAAAGTGTTTCGCTTTCGGACAGTGGAATCCCATCAATAAGAGCTGCTTCTGGAGGTCTTCAGGTCCTGAATTTGTCTTCGAATGCATTCTCGGGTGAACTTCCGCAGGACATTGGTGCTCTTAGTAGCTTGCGGTTCTTGAATATGTCCAAGAATGATCTCTTTGGTCCTATCCCAAAGAGCATAGGCGAATTGAAAACTGCATATGCTGTTGACTTGAGTGACAATCGATTAAACGGAACCATTCCTTCTGAAATCGGAGGTGCGAAGTCGCTCAAGGATTTGAGGCTACAGAAGAACTTGTTAACCGGGAAGATTCCACCCCAGATTGAGAAGTGCTCAGAGCTAACATCTTTGTAAGTACTCTTGCCCTGTTCAATCCTACTATGTGTTATTTTCGTTTCCAATAAAATTATAAGCATCAGAAAGACAATGTAGTATTGTAGAAACTGTGCAAAATATCAACCTCACATGTTTTATTTGTTTCCCATTAAAAGAACGTCTTCTTTGTTGTGAAATTGAATGTTGGTGGGAACAATTATGGCCTAATTTGAATATTGAACGTAAACTGGTAAAATTGTTGAGGATCTAAGAATACAAAGTATGAAGTGTTCTGGAGGGTGAATCAGCAATAATTTGGATTTTGGCCGGGAAACCTCATAGACGAACTGACATTACTTTTGGGTTGCAAAAGATGATGTATTTTCTCTTTTCTTGTATATATGAAATAAAATGTGGTTTTTCCTTTGTTTCTGTACTTCATTTACACTGCTCTGAACTTCTCTTTCTTATTGTTTCAAATGTGCAGGATCCTGTCGCAAAACAACCTGAGTGGCCCAATTCCTGCAGCCCTTGCAAACCTTACAAATCTCCAATATGTCGACTTTTCCTTTAATGAGCTCTCTGGAAGCTTGCCAAAAGAGCTTACAAATCTTTCCCGCCTCCTATCTTTCAATGTTTCTCACAACCACATTGAAGGTGAGCTACCCGTAGGTGGTTTCTTCAACACTATTTCTCCCTCATCTGTTTCAGGCAATCCATCCCTTTGTGGCTCTGTCGTTGACCGCTCGTGCCCTAATGTCCATCCCAAACCAATTGTCCTTAACCCGAATTCCTCCAACTCTAGTGGTGGTTCTTCCTCTCCAAATTACGGTCACAAGAAGATCATACTTAGCATCTCAGCACTGATTGCCATTGGTGCAGCTGCATTCATTGTTATCGGTGTTATAGCTATCACTGTTCTCAATATCCATGCAAGGTCTTCCATGTCACGTGCTGCTGCTCCTCTCACGTTCTCTGGTGGAGAAGATCCCAGTTGTTCCCCCACCACAGATCCTAATTATGGCAAGTTAGTCATGTTTTCTGGCGATGCTGACTTTGTTGCCGGGACCCAGGCATTGCTCAACAAGGACTGTGAACTAGGTCGTGGTGGCTTTGGAGTTGTTTACCGAACAGTCCTTCGAGATGGGCGTTCAGTTGCAATCAAAAAGCTTACAGTCTCCAGTTTGATCAAGTCCCAGGAAGAGTTTGAGAGAGAAGTGAAAACACTCGGGAAAATCAGGCACCATAATCTTGTAGCACTTGAAGGGTATTACTGGACTCCATCCTTGCAGCTGCTCATTTACGAGTACATACCAAGTGGTAGTTTGTATAAACATCTGCACGACGGACCTGATAGGGTTTCCCTCACTTGGAGACAGAGGTTTGGCATAATTCTTGGGATGGCAAAAGGTTTGGCCCATTTGCATCAGATGAACATAATTCACTACAACCTAAAATCAACCAATGTTCTGATGGACGGCTCTTGTGAACCGAAGTTGGGAGACTTCGGCCTGGCAAGGCTGTTGCCAATGCTAGACCGCTGCATTTTGAGCAGCAAAATCCAAAGTGCACTCGGCTACATGGCCCCCGAGTTTGCATGTCAAACGGTAAAGATAACCGAGAAATGCGATGTCTACGGTTTCGGGGTCTTGCTGTTGGAGGTGGTTACTGGAAAGAGGCCCGTGGAATACATGGAGGACGATGTGGTAGTGCTTTGTGACATGGTGAGAGGAGCATTAGAAGAAGGAAGAGTAGAAGAATGTGTTGATGAGAGACTTCAAGGCATATTCCCAGCAGAAGAGGCGATTCCAGTGATCAAATTGGGTCTAATATGTGCATCTCAAGTGCCCTCCAATAGGCCAGACATGACTGAAGTTGTCAATATCTTAGAGCTTATTCAATGCCCTTCAGAAGGCCAGGAGGAACTGGAATGAAATTTTTTTTTTTTTTTTTTTTTTTTTTTTTTTTTTTTTTTTAACTGTAGAGATTTCAGAAAAATCGTCATATCAAAATGCGTACTCCGGGGAAGCGTAATCCGGTTTGTTGTTTTCAAGCGAAAGAAAATTAGATAGATTGTTGAAGGTCCACGTCTTCTTGACCTTTTGTTTGTTGTTATATGTAATTTTGGCTCCTTTCTTTTATAATCTTTACTACAGTTGTATTGCCCCGGATTCCTCTTCACCGGTTTCAAAATGGAACAATTTGGATACTTAATTTGAGGCTATTTCTCTTTGTAGAAAACAGAGGTTGAATTTCTCTCCTGTCCTATTGGCTTTCTTTTGCCTTTGCATCTCTTAAAAGTATTGGGAGCTTTGTACAGTAGCGTATTCTACCGGAAGACGGTTGCGTGTGTTTTTGAACATTAAATTTGATTAAACTTGCATAAAAATTGAAAAATATAAAAGAAACTAATAACATCTGGGCATTTTTCAATTTTTCATATCGAATTCTCAATAATTTAACACTTCACGTTGTTGCCAGATAATTCCAATTGGTCGAAGCTGAAAATGAATGACAAATTAATAATGAATCAAGATTTGCCTTTTAATTCCCCATTGTCATGCACGTTGAGAATTATGGATAGTTAGCCACTAAGTTGTTCCTCACCAATAAAGAAAAAGATGAGAATTGAACTAAAATAAATAATAATAATGTTGACGGTCAAATTTCGCCAACAAAAAACCGACCGGATTACTTATCGGTTTTTCCTCGGGTTACCGGCCGTATGTGTGTGTATTTACTAAGAATCGAATATGTAAATGACGCCAGGAAATTTGTAGTGGTTCACTCTATAAATTTTAGAGCTACATCCACTGTAATCTTGTATTTCTTTGTTTGGGGTAAGTTACAATTTACAACTTTTGTTCTCAGCTAGAGTTTTTTCAACCACCTCCTTGCTGGGGTCTTTCTCCTTTTATATTGGGCTTTCTTTACCCAGGGGGTTTCCTTCACAGCTAGAAGCACTCAAGTGCTCTCCCTCGGTAGGCCCAGACGTAGTCCACTAATTTGCACTGTTCACTCAGCTAATTAGTCTTCTATTACGACTTTGTGCTTCCCCGTAATACTTTCATGTCCCTTGTGGGAGCGGTCTGACAGCTCGCAATTAATGCTTGCAGACCACCTCCACTTCTGCACGTAACCCGTTACGTCCTCTAAAGGACGTCCCTCTCGTCGTCAGCACTTCTTAGCCCGACCGCCTTCTTCGATAGCCCTTTCTGCGGTTGAGAGATCTTCATCCCTTAGCGTCGACGCCACAAAGGATCGTCGCCTTAGCTTGGACTTCGTCCTTGGGCCTTCGCAGTGGGGTATGAGGACTCTGCAAGCGTCGAGGGTTCCTTGCTTGATGGGGATTAATCAAGGTCACGTGTCGCGGTATACTTTGTACACGTGTCCGCCACATTTTCCCACATAACAAATAATAATAATAATAATAATAAGAGTAATTAATAAACAAGAACAACAGTATGAGAGAATTGAACCCAAAAAATCAGGAGCATGCATGTGGAGAATTATATAAATGGTATTTGAATGGAGAAGTGTTTTTATGTTCAGGTATGACCACGCTCATAAGAGTGGCAAAAAAAAAAAAAAAAAATCTGATGTCTGATTTTGATTGGTTATCCAAAAGAGTTGAAAGAAAGAACCGGAAAATGTTTAAATAAACACAAAAGTGGTTTTCACCAATCAACACCAACCTCCTGCCTCTAGCCCACCCCACCAAAGGAGAAGAAAACAATGAAAGAGCCAAAAGTGCAAGAGAAGATGAGGGGGGAGAAAAAGAAAAAAAAAAGTTTTGAGGATGATTAAAATATAAGCTACCATTAGAATTTGAGTGGATTTATGGTAATTAAAAAAAGCATATCATGCTGTGGAAAGAAGAAACACTCTTTTGCTTTATTTACACTATTATTAAAGTTAAGTCTTCCAATATATCTTTCTTTTATAACAATTCCTTGCAGCTTTGGCAAAAAGAACAAGGTTAACTTTTAAGCATGTAAAATACATACATTGAGGCTACTAAATAGAGGCCAATCCACTCCTTCAAATTAAACTCCAAGTTTCAAAGACATGATTAAATTTAGGCATTTGAAAGAGACGTATTTACGACCATTAGAATTGGAAAAAAAAAAAAAAAAAAAAAAACATTGGACATATTCGCATTGGTATATCACATATTATGTAATGACATTGATATTACACAATATTTATTATTATTACAAGCCTGATAAATTGTATAAGTGGTAAAAGATAGTAGCATTAGTATTGCACTTACAAAAACATTTAAGATGTGTACTATTTGTGGTGAAGAATGTTGCATATGTAATAGTATGCATATATTGTTATATGATGAATTGTGAGAGTACATCAATTTAACACATTTTTTGTACTTAGTAAAATCAATTTCGCACAGTTAGTTGATTATAATAGCGTGCTGTGAAAATTGTGATGACCTAGCATTAATTAGTGATCATTATAAGCAATGATACTAATAATTATTTATTGCCTTAAGAATAACCTAAGTGCATTTCTATGTATTCCGCTAAAATAAACCAATACATTCAAATGTATTCCTTCAAAGTTAAATCAGAAGTGTAAAACATCATAATTTTAAAGCAGGTTCTACCAGGATAGATAATTATTTACTCTTAAAATTGAAGCATTTTTTTTAATATTTTTATAAAATCAATTTTTTTTTTTTTTTTTTTTTGGCTGGAATTGATCAAAGGGGTGTTGGACCCAAGGAAACCTAATCAAACGAGATTGGACATCATCAAAGCGCCTCACATGGGGTCCTCAAAAGCACTAACAAAAAAAGCTTTTTCAACAATAATGCTCATGGCAATCATGCCAATGGGAACCTTTACATGCTTTTGGTCGCTCATGTCTTGTAGTCGTAGATATGCAATGATAAACTATCAACCACAATAATAGTTGATTTAGTGCCACGCAATATGACATTATACTATGATTTAATAATGGTGAATCAGTAGGAAATGCCGTGACCAACAATGATGTTTTGGAGTGCATGTGTTGCATTTTTTTTAATAGGCAATTCGTATTCTAAATTAAAGAAATAAATACACTAATACTAATCTCAGTGTAAAAAACACTTAACCCTAACAAATGACTGGTTCTACTGGTACAATCTAATTACGTGGAGAAAGAAACATACATTTAATTTTCTAAATAAAAAAGAAAAAAAAAGTGTTGCTTTTTTTGTTTGAATGTTAGAATTTCATTTCATAAAATATATGGCTGTTTTTCGTTTGATTTCCTCTTTAAATGCATAACTAATTTGGGAGAGTTTTATGGTATGTATAAAAGAAAAACTAAATCATTAAATTTTCATATTGTATTAAGTTAGACAGATGATGAAAAGTCAAGTAACCTAAATTGTTTACATATTGGTAAATATTTGCGTTTTCAGTACTAACTTTGGAAATGTTTCAAATGTTACTTGGCTTATACACCAAGTAATATTGGTATAATCTAAATACCAAAAAGGGTAAAAGATATCCATTTAATTTTCTAACTTATAAAAAATATCCATTTGATTTTCTAATTTATTTCACTGGTGAAGAAGGAAACTCAAAAGTCTCGTTCATTCATCAATTCGAGTTTTACTACAGTAAAAAGTTCTTAGAAACAGTTACATCTAACTTTTTTGTTACAGTAAAAGGTTTTCACATAAAGTCACATCTCAACTCGAATTAAAAACTTAAATCAGCGAACTAAACTCGAATCAACGAATTAACGTACTCAAAATCTCTTAATTAATATGCCAACTCAGCAAGAGGGTACAAAGGACAGAAAAACTGATTTTAACTAAGCAACTTTGAGCGTCCAAATCGTGATAAGTATTAAAATATAGATGAGAATGTTTGTACATACTGCATGAACTCGTTTGAACTTGGAAACAAAGAAATTAAAATTTCATATAACAACTAAGTACGTCGCCTCACATGCGCAAATGTACTTCCGTCCAAATTTTAACACGAGAAATAGTAGAAAATATGCCAATATGAAAAGCTTAAGAAAGTATATAGGTCAATTTTTAGTTATAGAAATTAATATGCCATAACTTGTCAAGTTATAGTTCATAACCAGATAAGTTATGGACAAACTTGTCAAGTTATAGTTCATAGCCAGATAAGTTATGGATAAAAATTGTAAATAACTTGTCAAGTTATGGTTCATAACCAGACAAGTTATGGACGAAAATAGTAATTTGGCATATTTATTAACTTATGTAAACTATTGGCCTATTAATTTTAATTCATCTCAAGTCTTGGCCTATTTCCCTATTTCTCCCTTTTAACATCTATAATCAATTTAAAGGATTATGCAATACTATTAATAAATTTAAGGTAAAATTTGGTATCTGGTAGGGTTGGTAATTCGTGTTTGTGTGTCGTGTTCGGGCCGACACGATTATGACACGACACGATTATAGTGAACACGAACACGACACGATTAATAAACGTGTCAGAAACTCAAACATGAACACGAAACGCTAATAACACGGTTAACACGACACGACACGCGAACACGATTACTAAACGTGTTGTGACGGGACGACACGAAAAAAACACGTTTATAACCCATTTATGACCCAACTAGCAAAAATAGTAGAATTTTATATTGTATTCAAAACTATATTAATTGACTACTTAATATAAAATCATGCATAATAGCCGACACATTAAAATATTCAAATATCAAATACACATATATATGATACTACTAGATTATCAAGTATATATGTTTCAAAACATACCAATTACCAAACATCCAAAGAAAATTGAAAACATAGCCAAGTACATTTAAATAAGTTTGAAAACATAACCAAACATTTGAATGTTTAAGTGCATAAAACATAAAATAAATATAGAAAAATGTCTTCTTTGAGCATTGAGGTTGAATGCCTAACTATGCTCTAAAAACTAAAATTAGTTTCAAGAGACTGAGTCAGATATATATATATATATATATTGTCGGTTAAATAAAGTCTTTGTATGAATTTAAATAAAATAGAGGATAAATGGTTTATCATTAGAGATAAGGTTTCTTAGGTTAGAGTTTATCTTTAATTAGGATAGTTTCTTTTAGGAAGATAAGGTTTCTTCCTTAGCCTATTTAT